TAACCCTATATATATATATATATATATATATATATATATATATATAATTTATAAATTAGTATATTTTAAACTCAGCATATCAAATATCACATATAATAATGGCAATCTTATTGGTTATTGACCATAATTGCCAGTAAATCAATATCCACCAGTATCTGTTGGTAAATGCAATACAGAATATTGCATATTTTACAAGCACAGTTTTACAATCATTACTAAGTGTTGCAGTATTGTAAAAGTGAACACAAACCTTATATAGTATAGTAAGCGAGAAGCGAGCTCAGCGCTGCAGTGACAGGTAAATCCAGTGTGCTGAAGGCATTCCCTGTTTAGACACCCTTTGTTTCTCTCTCTATCTCTCCATCTGCCGCCTCTCTTTCCAGCTCAACTCCATTGATTTTAACTTCACTTTCGATTTGACCGCAGCAGAGGCCAGAGACAGACAGACAGAGAGAAGGAAAGACAGACAGACATATAGACAGGCGGACAGAGAGAGAGGCACACAGACAGACACAAACAGACAAAGACAGACAGACAGATGGAAACACAGACAGACAGAGAGACAAAAACAGATGGACAGACAGATGAGCAGAAAGACAGACACACAGATTGACAGACTCACGGACAGACAGATGGACAGACACACAGACAGATGGATGGACAGACGGACAGACAAATGGACAGACAGACACGCAGACAGATGGATGGACAGACGGACAGACAGATGGACAGACAGACACACAGACAGATGGATGGACAGATGGACAGACAGATGGACGGACAGATGGATGGACAGATGGACAGACAGACACACACACGGACAGATAGATGGACAGACACACAGACAGATGGACAGACAGACACACAGACAGATGGACAGATAGACAGACACAGACAGATGAACAGACACACAGACAGGCACAGACACACAGACAGATGGACAAACACACAGACAGATGGATAGACACACGGACAGACACAGACAGATGGACAAACACAGACAGATGGACAGACACACAGACAGACACACAGACAGGCACAGACACACGGACAGACACACAGACAGACACAGACAGATAGACGGACACACAGACAGATGGACAGACACACGGACAGACTGAGGGACAGAAACAGACAGACAAATAGACAGACACAGACAGACAGACAGTCAGCAAAGAAACGGATAAAGATGGATGGACAGACGCACAGAGACAGAGAGAGAGACAGGAGGGCAGAGGGTCCTGCAGTAATAAGGCAACTGGAAATGAACATCATATATGACCGTACAAGTCATTCTATATCGCTGTGTGTGTGTGTGTGTGTGTGTGTGTGTGTGTGTGTGTGTGTGTGTGTGTGAGTGAGAGACAGTATCCAGTAAAACGCTCGTGGGTGTTGGAGCTAATGGTTTAAAGCTCTCTCTCTCTCTCTCTCTCTCTCTCTCTCGTCGCTCTCTAATTAGCTTCCTGTGGCCCAGCCTCTAATGTGGCATGTTTATTGCTTTAACTAACCACTCATTAGCCCAGCTGATGTTTTGTCAATATTAATTCATCCATTGAAACCAAGTCAAGTCTTAAACAAAGATGTCCGCTCTGAAAAATGGACTCCACCCGTTCGGCCGGCCCGAGAAACGGGACAAAAAATTTGCAGGTGATTTGGCCTGTTTGTCGTCTTCCTGTCCAGACAGGAAATGAGGTGTAGTGCGATGTCTCTGTATGTCTCCGTATGGCAGCGTCCGGCTGCTCATTCTGACCAAGTGCCGCCCATTTAGACAGGACGTGTAAATAGACGTTTAAGGGCAGGTTCAGCTAATTAAAAAAATAGAGTGAAATGTTTGTAAATTATTAATTAATTCATCCTTGCATAAATGATCGCATTGTATTGAATGTGGTTAAATTACACAGAGATTCATTTTGCTCAGGTTTCATAAATGAAATTTAGCACATTTCTCTAAAATTTGCATTACCATAATCTTCAGTTTTTTGTAGTTATTCTCAGTGGTAGTTATTCTCATTTTCATTACAGGCTCATTACTGTAATTGTGCTGTTTTATTATAATACAGTGCTAATATTGCTGTAATATAAGGATTTTATTAAATTTAAATAAGCATACATTAAACTTAAATAAACTTGGTACAACTATTATGATAAATAAATGCTTATCCCAAATATAAATATTATTTTTACTTGTTTATATTTAATTAATTTTTTCTTAATTAGAATTAAGAAAAAAAATTTGTGAAAGTAATGCAAGTTAATTAATTAATTAATAAAAAAATTGCAGTGCAAATATTGCTGTAATGCAATGATTTTATTACATCTAAAAGTCATTGCAGTCACTTTGCAATTAATATGACTAAAATGTTATATTATATATACAGCATATATATATATATATATAAAAATTACAGTAGTGTTAATGTATATTTATTATATGAATATTTAATCATATTACATTAATTAGAGTAATTTATTTAATTAATTTTTACAATTATAATTAGGAGTAAATGTGTCACTTTTGTGAAAATATCACAATGCAAAAATTATAATATAAAATGTAATGTAATATAATTTTGCACAAAATAAAACAAACAACATTTTTCACAAATGTTTCAAATAAAACAAATTTATTTCATTTTTTGTTAAATATAACCTGAACATGTTCTTGACAGGTTTCCTGAGCTTAATTAGTTGAATACGTTAGCAGTCATTATTTTAATGAAGTAATCCCGACTAAAGCTCGTCAGGAGATTTAATGCTCTGAGTTTATTCAGAGACTTTAAGAGCAGCTCTTCAGTCGAGTGTTTAAGGTTAAAGTTTCACGTCTCGGGATTCCACACGATGGATTTGTGCCGTGGTGTTGGGAATCAAAGGCCGGATTAGAGTACAAACCGCACTGCTCTTAAACCTCGGCGCTGCGCCCCGGAACAAAGCAGCGAATCCCGGAGCGCTGGAGGACACACACACACACACCTCTCTCTCACTGCAAACTGACCTTACAGACACTTAGAGCAGTTATTGCTCCTACGGAAACACTGGGGTGACTTGGTTTCGGCTCCACTGTCATCAAAAACAGTAATGGCTAAGATTCTTGAAGCTTCTAGAAGTAAAGAAATTCATACTTTTATTCAGCAAGGATGCATTAAATTGATCAAATGTGACAGTAAAGACATTTATAATGTTTTAAAAGATTGCTATTTCAAAGAAATGCTGTTTATTGAACTTTCTATTCATCTGTGAATCCTGAAAAACAAAAATATTGTGCAGCACAACTGTTTTCAGCATTGATAATAATCAGAAATGTTTGTTGAGCAGCAGATCAGCATATTATACTGATTTCTGAAGATCATGTGACACTGAAGACTGGAGTAATGATGCTCAAAATACAGCTGCACATCACAGAAATACATTACATTTGAGCAAATATTCACATAGAAAAGTTATTTTAAATTATAATAATATTTCATATTTTTGATCAAATAAATGCAGCCTTGGTGAGTAGAAGAGACTTTTTGTTTCATTCTAAAGCAGCATTGCATACAACAAAAATGGTGTGTGTATATATCAGTTATTTTAGTATAATTTTTATAATAGTTATGGTTTTAATTAATATTTTGAATCACTTTGATTTTTATATTTTCAGATTCATTCTACTTTTATTAATTTTATGTGCTTTTTTATTATTTTATTTTTATATTTCCAATTTTTATTTCAGTTTTAGTTGTAGTAATTTTAGTATTTCAAATTAAACTTATTTATTTCAGTTAGAAAATATAAGTTTTGTTAGAATTTAAGTTTTTCATCTAATATTTCCATTTGATTTTGTTTTCATTTTAATTTCAGTTAAAGTTTTAGTAATTTTGTTATATGCTTGTATGCTTTTTTTTAAAGATTTATTCATGTTTAGTAATTTTGACATTCAACTAAACTTATTTATTACAGTTAGAAAACATTTATAATTTTTGTTAGATATTTGTTAAGGTTTTCATCTAATATTGATATTACATTTTATTTCAGCTTTATTTAGTCATAGTTTATTTAGTCATTAGTTATTTATTTATTTATATGCATAAAAGTGAATCAGAAGTTGGAAGCACGTTATGAAATCCAGCACACTTATACACACACATACACTCTTGTGCACACACACACACTCTCTTGCACACACACATACACTCTCGTGCCCACACTCATACACTCTCGCACACACACACTCTCTCGCACACACACACATACACTCTTGTGCACACACACACACTCTCTCGCACACACACACACACACACACTCTCTCTCTCGCACACACACACACACACACACTCTCTCTCTCGCACACACACACACACACACACTCTCTCTCTCGCACACACACACACACACACACTCTCTCTCTCGCACACACACACACACACACACTCTCTCTCTCGCACACACACACACACACACACTCTCTCTCTCGCACACACACACACACACACACTCTCTCTCTCGCACACACACACACACACACACTCTCTCTCTCTCTCGCACACACACACGCGTACATACACGTTTGGACACACACACTCTCTCACACACGCACACTCTCACATACAGACGGCTGAAGTCAGTTTCTGCTGAAAGCTTAGGCTGGAATCTGTCTGCATCAATTAGCTCACCTCATTGTTCTCTGTTGCCGCGGTAATTACCCGGCGACCTGTTGCCGTGGCCACAAGCTCGCCAGCAGATGCAGATAAATCCAGACGATCATTGTGTGTGTGATTATTAAGCAGCTGATCTATAACATATAACATAAACATTGATCAGATCAGCTGATGTGCCACAGATTTATTGTGTGTGTGTGTGTGTGTGTCGGGTCACATGTGCTGACCTCTCCCCCCTCACCCTCCCACACATATTGACCGTTGCCATGGAGACAGCATGTGCGGCTGTTGTGCACTAATAGAGGCCTGCAGTGGAGTGAAGGAGCCCCTCGTTAGAGCTCCGCTGATGGATAGACACATTCAGACACACACTGACCGCTTTGGGGTTTGTTTTCAACACCATGTGACCTCAATTCACTGACTTCTGTTGAAAAGGGAGCATTTTTAAGGTTTTCTGCTAAACTTAAACTCGCTTTGAATAGTCTTTTCCAGATCCCAGCCCCTAAATGGAGAAACAAAATCTGCATTTATTTGTATTTTTTCTAATTGTAAAAATGTTTACATATTTTTATTTTAAATATTTATTATGTAATTGTTATATATATATATATATATTTCTTGTTTTTTCTTTGTTTTAGTTATTTATTATTTACTTACTGATTTGCTCGTTATTTGGTTGGTTAGTGATTTAATTACAAAATCAAAAATAATCAGGCAAACTGGAATTAATGTGTTTAATTAATCAATTAATTTCTAAACAAATTGTACACAACAATGACGTGACATGATTAAATAGAGGCGCGCACTAATGCAGCAAACGTGTCTGCAGTGTGACAGCATTTCAAACTGATAATAAATCCAGATAATAGATGGAAAAAATTATATTTTTTTCCACATTTATATATATATATATATATACTTTTTTATATATTTTTTTTGCTTTTTTAAGTATTTAACTATTCTAACTATTTAACTATTTTTTTTTTTACTTACTGGAATTAATGTGTTTTATTTGTGACCCAGAAATAGTGGCAAATCGGAAAGATGTCTTCTTTTTACACCGTACTATTTCTATATTTTTGTGGCTCGTCATTTCTAGATCCCACCACCTAAATGAAAAATATGTATTTTTCCACATTTGCTTTTTAGATATATATATTATAATATACATAAAATGTGTTTTATTTAATTTTTTTAATTTTTTTTAATTTAAATTGTTTTAATATTTGCTTTCTGTATTTTTATTTACTTACTGATTTCCTTGTTAGATTTGTTTTTTGTACACAATTCTGTGTACAAAAGTAAGAAAAAACTTAACTTTTACTTTGGATTATTTTTAGATTTAGATTTTGACACTCAGATTTCTAGCGTGTTCAGATGCATGTGACATTATGTTGATGTGTGTAGTAGTGACTGATGCTGTATTAGCTGAGCATCAATATTTCCACCTGCAGACGGTCCTGATAACGGCTCCGGTCAATATGGATATTAATAACCATCTGTCTCTCTGTCTCTCAGGTAAAGCCCTGACGTTCCTCCTCCTCCAGCCGCCCAGTCCCAAGCTGCCGGCCCACAGCACCATCCGGCGCACAGCCATCGATCTGATCGGCCGAGGCTTCACGGTGTGGGAGCCATATATGGACGTGTCGGCGGTTCTCATGGGTCTGCTGGAGCTCTGCGCCGACGCCGAGAAGCAGCTGTCCAAGTGAGATGCACACTTTTTTACTGTACAACTGTACGACTGAGAGTCACCAGTTTCCACCTGTACATTTGGGAAAAACTACCGTCAGAAACTCAGAGATCTTCAGTACAACCCGTCAAAATAAAAATTTGGTTTAACTTGAAGAAATTATGACAGAAATATATTAGTATAGTGCAGTACTCAGTGTAATGAGACACAATTTTCACAAATCACAATTTTTTCTTCCATATTTTAACAGTAAACCTCTGTTGTGAAGCACTTTGATTGCCTTCATTTACTAAAGTGAAAGTGACGTGACATGTGGCCAAGTATGGTGACCCATACTCGGAATTAGTGCTCTGCATTTACCCATCCAAAGTGCACACACACAGCAGTGAACACACACACACCGTGAACACACACCCGGAGCAGTGGGCAGCCATTTATGCTGCGGCGCCCGGGGAGCAGTTGGGGGTTCGGTGCCTTGCTCAAGGGCACCTCAGTCGTGGTATTGAAGGTGGGAGAGAGCGCTGTACATTCACTCCCCCCACCTACAATCCCTGCCGGTACGAGACTCGAACCCACAACTTTTGGGTTATGAGTCCGACTCTCTAACCATTAGGCCACGACTTGCCCCTCGTAACCATCGTTTTTGAAAATAAATTTGGATTTAAATCATGAATCCAGAAAAATTAAAACACAACACAGAATTACTGAAAAGGTTAAACATTTCATTAATAATTTATTTTTAAATAAATTATTAAACTGTTCAAGTTTTATGAATTCAGTTGATTTGACATGCTTTTTGATTATTACATTTACAAATGTAAAAAATTAATATTATTATAAATTATTAAAATTGCACCTTTAAAATGGAATTTCAAAAAGATTAATGAATTAGACATGCCTTTTGAGTACTAAAATTTAATTTAGCCATAAAACGGAAACCAGAATATATATATATATAACGCAATACAGGACAATGTAAGCAGAAAACTTGGAATTTGGGGGGGAAAATTAAAATTGTGAAGAAAAAAATGAACACATTGTTATAAAATTGTGTACGCTTTATAATTTCAAATTATTAACTAAATAATTATTAACTAATTACTAAAGTATACTTAACCATGAAAGCATTCGCTCACTGGATCATTGGACTGAAAACTTTATCGGAGTTTAGCAGCTTAAAATGATCTGATCGCAAGCAGAGAAGCAAAATTGGGTTAAAGGGTTAGAATAGAAATTGTGCTTCAGTAATTTTGCGTTAACTGCGTTAAATTATTTTAACGCGTTAAGGATTGTAAAATTAATCACATGCGTTAACGTGTTAACGATGACAGCCCTAATATATATATATATATATATATATATATATAAAATTAGAGATGCACCGATTGCAATTTTCTTGGCCGATTTTCTTATAAGTGTGACCTGCCGAGACCTATTTTTGTCGATTCCGATTTTCTTTCTAAAAACTATAATTGACAGCATACACAATCAAAAATCTCAACTTTTTTTTTTTTAATGCAAAAAAATTATTAAGCATTACAATTCCCCCAATCTGGACAAAGTTACAGATGTTTTTTCACTTAAACAACTCTCCAAATAAAGTGCTCTGTAACTAGAAAAGAGGTAGAAATAACAATTAACTGAAAAGTAGTTGCTGTATATAACAAAACAGATGTCATTTCCCACTGTTTCTTAAATTGTCATTTTTTCACTAACCTTATTAAATGTGTAATAATAAGAAACTGTAGAGCTGTTACAATTCAAATGAAATCAGTATGAACAAACTCCATCTTTCCACTGCAGTGGCATTAGATGTATTTACACAGACTGTTTGATGAAGCTGAGGTGCCATAAATGCATTTACACTGCAAAATTTTGAATGCATAAAGAATTTTATTAGATTAATGTTTTAAATATTTTTTTAAACATACAAATAAGAAATGTTGGGAAAAATGCAATGGTAGTTTTAAATACGAAAACCAAACCAGTAGGTGGCTGCAAATGACTGTTTTAATGAGCGAGTCATTTAGTCCTTCATTCAACAGATTCGTTCAAACGGCTGATTCATTCAGAGACGAGGCAAGTGACTACTGTCTTTATGAGTGGGTTACTGAATCATTGACTCACTTGATTCATTCAAAAACGTGGATTCATTCAGTAACAAAACACCGCTGTGTTGCTCGGAGACACAAAACAGCTCTGCTGTGGCTTTGATTGGAACTATATTCGTCAGCGAAACTGAGCAAAAACAGTCAATATTATGTCTGAAATGTAAGTCACTTAATTTTAACTTATTGTTTATTGAACTACTATTGTATAAAATCATATATTCAGAATGTTTATATAGAATGTATGTATAAATATATATATTTAAATTATATATTTTAAAAATATTATTTGTTTGACCAAAAATACAGCATGATTGAAAGATAAATAAGCCTTTTACACAGAAAAAAAATAACCAACTTTTTCCCTAATTTATGGGAAAAAATGTTTTTAATATAATTAACTACAAACCATCATCTGGCCTTTGGAACATTTCCTAAAGGTTAAAGATCTCCAATCACTGAGTTTTGTTAAAATGAAAAAAAAATATTAAATAAAAACTGATGTGATTTGTCTGTATCACTCAATACAGAACAAAAGATAGAAAAGATAAAGAAAAGACTGCAGTTTTTTTCTCCTCTCTGATATTCTCATCTTTCTTTCTCTCCTGTGGCTCATATTTTATGCTGACGCTCCTGAGATCAAAGTGATTGATCAGATATTGACGGATCAAGGAAGCGCTCGGCTTTAGAGACCCATTCATTAGCTCAATTACACACACACACACACGCTCACACACACTCTCACACAACACACACACACACACACACACACACACACACACCAGCAGTGTTAAAGCTACTTTGAAACTCTAGTTTGTAAAGCTACAAGTTACTCATGTTAAGTAGAAGTCACTCACAGATGAGCTTGAAATGCTTTCTTATAGATGCTTTAGCATTCTGTAAATATAATTTGCCTTAAAATGCAAATCAGAAACTACGTTTAATCTTATTTTTATTTACTTTATATTTTGTATTTTTGCCTTTTAAAGCAGTTTGTGTATGGTCAAACTCTCTTTGATTTGCATTGAATTAAGCGGAGGGCAGGGATCATTATGAAGGTTTTTCATGAGTGCTGCTGTTTGAGTTCAGAGGAGCTGATGAGTCTCTTTGTTCTCGTCAAACTGAGGAGGAGCTTTGGCACATTTACAGCCGTGATAAGATCGTTTATGTAACGCAGAAGCTGTGAGCTTTGAACAGGATTTATCGACTCGTCCGCTGGCTCGAGTTTGAGCGCGAGAAACGGCTGATTTCTGATCTCTCTCTCTCTCTTCTGTGTAATGTGTTTGTGTAATTGTTCATCAGATGGTGCTGCTTCATATGTGATCTGTACTTTGAGAGTCTCTGAAGGTCAACAGAGAAACTGGATAGAAACATCTCTTAAAGCCCCAGTTTAAAACATGCAGTAGAAACAGTTTTAACAGTTTTTAGAAATGTAATCTTTGTATTCATGTTGGCTTTATACTTAATACTTTTATACTGATTTTTAATTACATTTCTCATTATTAATAAAGATTATATGTAATATAATATATTGATATTGTATTATTCATAATAAATTGAGTAATATATTAATATTAATATTATATGTATTTTTTTATTGAAACTTTTTTAAATTAAATATTTTTTTATTATGCATAAAGCTATATATATACTTTTATCAACCTTTTAAAGTAGTTTTTTTCTGATTGCATTCATATATATATATATATATACACAGTGGGGAAAAAAAGTATTTAGTCAGCCACCAATTGTGCAAGTTCTCCCACTTAAAAAGATGAGAGAGGCCTGTAATTTTCATCATAGGTATACCTCAACTATGAGAGACAAAATGAGAAAAAAATTGAGTTTCCGCCAAAATCAGTATTGTATCTGGTCGGTATTGAAAAGTAAATTTTTAATTTTACGCAAAATGCGATATCCGCCGAGTTATTCTGTCATGTTTTCTCCCTTTTTTTCCAAACCTCGACAAGCGCCAGTCTCTCTTCTCTGCAGAATGCGATATATATCCGCTCAACCAATCACAGCGCACCACTCCACGAACTCTAGACAGTAATGGCGGCGCTTTGAATACACCCGGCTTCCTAGTTTTCCTCATCTACTTTGTACTTTGTGTTCAACAAACAAACTTAGGGCTGCACGATAAATCGCATGTGATTGTCATGCGCATCTCGTCAGTAAAGCCGGTTCTGTGATTAATAGTAAATCTCCATCACGTGCTTTCAGATGGAGCGGCGTTTAATACACAGAGCCGTAGATCACTGCTATATCGCGTTCATAATCGCAGATGAGTCGCATTTGATTATGAATGCGATATTGAGTAGCTGGTCAGTGTTTTTATTTATGCCATTAATGTTTTTGTTAATACAGCGTATAGCACTAGTCAACTAAATGAATGTAACATGGCAAAGATGAATGCACTTTTGGAAGTTGAATGTAAGGGAAATGTCATTTTGGAATTTCTGTGGATTAATGTGACATTGTTGTTCATGTAGCCTATGTTCATGATGAAATAGATTTAATGTCATAGATTTATTGCATTTTGGAAAATATGCAATAAATAAGATTTTATAATAAATCTTTGAAAATCAAAATTTGAATTTATGTTATTATAACTTAAAGATGCCATGTGAAAGTTTGAAACAGAAAATAGTGGTTTTAATCTTGCCACATTCTTGGTAAAGAAAACACATTTTTACTCAAATTAATCAAAACACACACACACACACACACACACACACACTCACACACACATACTTGTATTTGTGGTTTACGGGGACTCTCCAGAGGCATAATGGTTTTGTACAAACTATACTGTACAAACTGTATTTTCTATTGCCCTACACCAACCCTACCCCTAAACCTACCCCTCACAGGAAACTGCTGCCAATTTTTGAATTTCATAAAACACCGTTTTGTATGTTTTTTAAGCCTTTTGTTTTTACGGGGACACAGGAAGTGTCCTCATAAACCATGTTTACGTTGTAGTACCCATGTCATTATACACATTTGTGTCCTCATAAACCATATATACCTGTACACACACACACACACTCACTCTCTCACACACACACTATTAAAATTAAATAAATCATTAAAATTATTCTTTAAATTTTTTTCAGTAAAATCAACTAATTAAAATTATTCTCAAGTAAGTTCATTTTGATGACAAAAACAGTTAATTGACATCAAATTTATTTTTCTGTGTTTCAGTTGTAGTAAACGTTTTTACATGTTTTTATTGAATGTAGACTTAAATTGCCTACACAAATAATTTTGTAGAAAATTTTGTTCTAAAATTGAACAATTGTGTTTAATTGTTCTTAAAGGGGTCCTATTATGCTATTTCACTTTTTCAACTTTATTTAGTCTGTAATCTTGCTGTTTGAGCATAAAAAAGATCTGCAAAGTTACAAAGCTCAAAGTCCACTTCAAAAGGAGATATTTTATTTAACAGAAATCACTTTTCAAAAACTACAACGAACGACTCGTTTGGACTACAACGCATATTTTCCGGGATTTGTGATATCACAAAGATCAACGAATGGGACGAGACCTGGTTGAGCTGCACTAGAGAAGGCAACGAGTGTTATCACTATGTCGGAGACGCGCTAGCTTTCACAAGGCAGACGAACTTAGAGTGGTTACAATCATCCGGGTTTAAATTGCACTCAAATTGATTTGATTTTGACGCAATATTTACACTGAAGCTCACAGGCGGCTATGGTAAGAGGCATGACATTTCCCTACCAGGCGCCGAGTGCTCCCAATCACAGCACAGTTGTAATAATGTAAAATATGTTAAGAATAATGTGTTTTTCGAACAACCTAGTATGAGAGCCTGTTCTAGTACACCCCCAAAACTAAATCAAGACTTTGTAAAAGAGCATAATAGGGCCCCTTTAATGTTTTGTATAAAATTAATTAACGTTATACTGAATTTAACTAAAACATTAAAGGGGTCATATGATGCGATTTCAATTGTTCCTTTCTCTTTGGAGTGTTACAAGCTCTTGGTGCATAAAGAAGATCTGTAAA